ATGTTTTAGTGAAACCTGTCTAATCCAAATGCTCTAGGAGACAAATTTTGTCTCGGAATAGACAGGGTATCAGATTACACGGTGTAAAGAACATAAATAATAGTAAAATGGGAATGAAAATAAAGGTCGGAATTTACAGTGAAACGGATTGCACAGGTGTTGGATTAGACTGTTTTCACTGTACACATATGTATGATATAAACTTATTCTTGCACAGAAAATGTAAGGTCCAGTTTTAATACCATTGTAAGAAGTCATTAGTTTTATGTTTTGTCTGCTTTACATCCGAGGGCCTTAGATGATTCCACTGAATGTGACATTCAATTTATTTAGCAGGGAAAGTGTTTATTCTCTTCAGTTTGCAAATAACAGAGATCATGCGAGATGGGCACATACAGGTACAAGAGAACGTATTAGTGTCAGTAAAGAAAGTGGCAAGCCTAAGATTATTTTGCATTGTATCGTTGAAATAATAGGGAAACAAATTAATAGGTGTTCACTGTTGTTACAGGATTGAATTATAAAATGATTTTGAAACAAAGTATGCATAGTGAATGAATGAAATTTTTGTCTACAAAACTGATCAATGTATTTATAATAATCTTAAATGTCCACTTAAGTATTGTGTATTTACAGGTGAATCCCTCTACGAGACCCGAGATGTAATAAATTAGAATATATCAGGGTGGGGCTGACTCCCATGAAAATTAGGCCAACATTTTTTTATTTTCTGTTTTTCGGGAATTTTTTCCAAAAATTTGAGTCGGGGGGTCGAAATAAAAATAAAAATAAAAGCTCGAAATTTAAGCAGTCGGTCAGAAAAATAAAAATAAAATGAAAAAATGCAATAAAAATTTTTATTTTTAATTAAGGATTTAATTTTTTTTTATGACCTTAATTTGTTAGGGGAAAAAGTGTTATTTGAAAAACTTATGTATACAAAACACAAAATTGGTACTGTTCATATATCATTGAACTATTTTAAATTTAACTTTCTCTTAGATATTTGGGGCAGGGGGTGCATATCTAGTATTAACAGCTTGCAGTTTCTAACATTAATGCAAATCAAACATACAAATCTAAAGTCTTCTCTCAGTTGTCAAATACCCTAGTGTCACCATAGTAAAAATTATAGGACTTATGTCACACCCCTCTTAAACTTTTCAGAATCTTGTATTTTTCCGTATTCAGCAAATTACAAGATCTAAGGATTTTGGACTAGCTCTGGCAAAGTTATGGCAAAAATACAGTGAGACATTCAATGGATCAGCTAAAATAAATTAATTCACCGAAGTGCACGTGAAACATGATAAAAAAAAAAAAGTTGTATAATATTTTATTCAGCGCAATTCAAATTAATATACATGGATACGTAGGTGGAAAAAAGTTCCCCAATCTCTCTATTGAAAACATATTTAAATTTCCTGAGTCTGTAGTATATTTGATCTCTTTTTATCCTTATATTTTTCTTTCTGAGCATGCTAACTTTCAACATAATTGTAGAAAATATGTACATCTTTCCCATAGTCAATAGTATACACATGTAAAATACACACGACAATATTCTGTTTGCTGCAGAATTCAAAAAATTAACTGTTGAAACTGGTTCTAATCCACAACTTTTGAATGAAAAAAAAAAAAGAAGAAAAAAAAAAAAAGAAACCAGATCTTGAATCTAAATATTTGTAAGGGCGTATCATTTACAACACTTTTCCCTAGTGGTAAAAAAAGTTGTTTTACTAAACAAGAGATAAATATCAGCTGAACACTGATGTACATTAATTTGTTACATAGCACGCCAAATTCAATAAAATGATATAAAAGGAAATAATGTCTTGTATCAATCAAGAATATATTTTAGTAGGTTATTTTGAATTCCAATATTTGTCATAAAACGAGTGAAAGTTGTGACTCGAATTTCCTCAGTCACGCCGCTTTCTACCAGTTCTACAGTGTTCTGTTCTGTCGTTAATTGTAAAAGAAATCATTATTGTCTTAAAATTAAGTTTCAAAAAATCTTCAAGGCGTATTTCAATGTATTGAAGCAATTGTCAACGATAATACGTAATCAAAACCTTTCAAACCAAGCGGTTGACAGAGCCTCAATTTCCACGTTTCTCTCTGCATAACATTTGTTCAAGATTACTGTTTCGTCTTTTTCATTCAATCTTTCATTAAAAGTTAATCTGAAATTTATATTTTTTCTAATATATGACATTGACATGTCACTTTTTAAAATGACTATTTAAAAAATATATGAAACCCTCCGATTCTGACATTTTGGCGCTATGCTGTGCAGTGACTACTCAGACTTCGAATACTGTGATTGGATGAATATATTTACCTTAGCCAATGACAAATCGCAGTTTGAAAGGCTTGTGAAAAGTTTATTTATATTTCTTTTATTTTTTCAGTGACTATAAATAAACTATCGGCGGGAGAAATAAAAATAAAACTTGAATTAGGGACTTTTATTTTTATTTCATTTTAGCCCAAATTAGAGTCGGCGCTCCCGTAAAACAGGATATAAAAAAAAGTTGGCCTTACTGCTTTATGTCTGTATAAGTCTATGTTATACAATTACTATCTATCAGAAGGGGATTTTCCGATTCTGTGTAGTTGCTTGAATCTCTGCTTTCTGTTTGTAGGTCTGTGGGGAGTTGGGGTAGAGGCAGCATACTATGGACATTACCTGGGATTCTACATGATGTAAGTCAATCTATCTTCATCATTCTTTGACCTTTTGGTTAAGAATTTAGTTACAACACTGACAATGTCAGATAAATTCCATTTTTCTTATTTTACAGTGTTGTAGCCATCTTGGTAACATTCTTAGAGTCTGTGTTTGCCATCAACATGTGTGTCCTAGTCTGTGTGGGGTAAGTCTTGTGCTGTAACCTAAAGTCCTGGAATCATATTACCCTTCCTTTAGACTAGTATAACCATGATTCAATGTTGCTATTGGAATTTAGGATCTAAAAGAAGTTTCAAAAGATCTTAGTTCAGTATAACTTTTATGAAGACCAGGCAAGTTTGTCCATTGGTGCCAGATAGCTCATTTGATAGAACACCTGTCTAAAACATCATGGGGACAAGGACCTGGTTTAGTTGGTCATATTTTCTCCCTTCCTGTTATGTTATTGGCTGTACTGAATTCTTTAAGTCACAGGTGAAAAAACTTTCCAGAGGTGAACCCAAGTTGATGTCCTTGGGAGTAAAGACTAAAGACATCTAAGATGGAGGAAGGGGGGGGGGGGGGTTTGCATTCAAATAGCTTCATTTGATAGTGGCCAGATTGCTCAGTTGTAGAGTACCTCTCTAGAGTTAGGGGACCCAGAATTCCATTCTGGTCTGGTTGCTGTAATTTCCCCTTCCTATCACAAATTAATTAAGTGTTGTAACATAAATACTGGAGTCAGTTTTTCTGAAAGAGTAGAGATTTTTCAGATTCTCCATTTTAATACACATATCCCTTTTTCATTCACTTTTTAGAAGGGGTAATTACAGCCCCAGTGATGGTATATATTCTTACAGGTTTAACCTTTGAGGATTTAAAAAAAAATTTCTATGCTTCTTTTATAATGTGGTTTTCATTAAGAACAAAGTGTAGGAGTATTTTTTTATAGATGTATCTCCCAGTACGGAATAAAGTTTTATTATGTGATGGACACAATAGCAACACTGTAATAGCTACATTCTGAATAGCTTGGAAAATATTCGTTCTTCATAACCAAGTCTGAGTTTGTTATTTGACTTACAACTGCTTTCAATCATTTTACTCCTAATTAATTGTTATTTTCATTTTTTGACATATTGAAATACTTTACGAAATGAGATTTATAATGATGTTATGCAAGGACATATCAGTTTATTAATAGACCTAGCATAACTAGCACAAGCCTTCTCTGATTTCAGTAATGATGACTCCACGTCACTATGCCAGAGACTATGGGATGCAGTGTTATGGATAGACAATTGGAAGAAGGGGGTCCTTTACTTCTGTTTCTCTATACCCTGCTTTATCCAGCCCCACACAGTGTGGATGGGTATCATATCAGGTGTGTATTTCACATGTGTATTGGTAATGGACACACATACAGCAAATAAGAACTGGAAAAGCACACCTTGAAGCTTTTCTGTAAAATTCCAGATTTTAAAATCTCTTTACATTTGTTATTACTGTATTATTTTCACCCTTTCACACTTGAGACTAATTTGCAGGGCTCGACATTAACGCTTGTCTGCTTGTCCGGTACCAGTGAAAAAAAAATTACGGACAAGTGAATATTGCTGGGTGCTTGTCCGATTGGACAAGTGCATTTAAATGTAAAGAAGTCTCAAAATAATAAAAAGAATGACTGTCAAACGTTAACGGTACTGAAGTTCAAAGACGGAAGCAGTATGTTCCTAATACCAAACTTAGATTCCGATATGGATTGCTATGTAGTTGAGTTCACACTTGATCGGGATCGAAGTTTACTAATTGCATACTACTGCAAAGGCATGGAATTTATGAAGTTTGGATTCTGTTTGATGTTGACAGTCCCATTTATGTTGTTGTTAGGACAGAAAGTCTAGATAAAATTTTGTGTTATATGTTGGTTGTATTTATCAATAACATCATGAATCAATCAAGCACATGTAATGGAGTTCATTTTAGTTTTCAAGTTGACAGTATTAGATCTTTATTGAAATTCTTTCGGACAAGTGAAGTTGAAGTTCGGACAAGTAAATGTCTTGGTCACTTGTCCGAATGGACAAGTAGGGAAAAAAGTTAATGTTGAGCCCTGATTTGCCCCATTTTTAAATTTTGCCCATATGCAATTGCATTTTAAAAATAACTATGTCTTAATAATTCTTGTTCGAATTCATGGTAAATCACCCCATTTTGAATTCATCCATTTGTGATGATGGTGAAAGGGGCAAACATAAAATGGGGGCTAAAATATCCCTGTGTACAGTAATACACAGTCAATATGATGTATCAATTTAAAAGTTTTTAGTCATGCAGTTTTACCAAACTGTGTCAGAAGTTATCTCCCCCTGTTTATAACATTATATTTTCATTTCGTGTATTTATTGACTACTGCTTTTAATAATCTGTTTTGTTTTATTCCAGGTGTCATGCTCATATTTAGTAGTGTATTTTATGGATTGAAATCATGTTACAATGAGGAACAGTCATTAGAAAAAGTATCTCACAATGCAACATACGACAGGTTGGTAGCAGACAGTAGTAATTAGAATACTAAGTAAGAAACCATTCACCAAGAAAATCTCAATTAATAAAGCTAATAAAAACCACTAAGAATGACTTTATTGTTTTGAAATCACCTACAAAATCTTTTTTCTTTAATTCAACCTGCTATATAGGAGATATAGGTAAGATGAATGTTGTGTATGGAGAAATATCATCATTTTATAAGATAACAATTTTATTGTTGACATACATGTGGTAGATATATAAATAAAACCCTTGATGTATTTCTTGTCTTCTCATATTTTAAAAAGAGAATACTTTCTAATTCAAGTGCTCTTCAGATATTTTTTTATCTTTAAATACATGTAGAATGAAATAGACACTATATGTCTAGATATTTTGAAGTAAGACTTTCTGTTCAGTACCATTACAAATAGCTTCTTTATTTTTATACACACTTTGGCTAATTTATAGGTTTAAATGATATGAATTCAAACTCTATTACCAGATGAATCCTTTATCAGTGTGGCAATTTTTTTGTTGTTCATCATTTTATTTTTCTCAAAAACTTCAAGAATAAGCATCCAGTCCCATTTCTGAACTTCTTTTATTTTACTTCCTTTAAATTGTAGATTTGATGATATACAAGAAGATATAGAGGATAGTATATTGAATCCCCCTGAGGGGGGGCCGGGGGTCCTGTCCCTAGCAGATCAGCAGGAGATTTTGGAGGTTTGATGTCAGCTGTCTCCATCAGTAGTGTGTTATAGTGCTTCATATGTGTTGTCCCACAACAGTGCTCATTGTAAACAAGTTGTGTATGTGAGTGGTGTGGAAGTGAACTGTGTATTTATTTTAGTGACACCTTACAGAAGTTCTTAGAATAGTTTTTGCCTTTTTGACATAAATAAGTCTTCTAAATGCCGATTTTAATGCTCGCTTTTAGGAAGGTCTAAACATTACTCACTGAAGAGTTCTAATTCCTTGGTAGTTTCATGCAGTTAGAGTGATCTCTCCCTTGATGTGAAGTTGAATAAATGGAAATTTACAGTAAATGACATAATTTTGAATTAATAGAAGTATTCTTATCATTATATTAGATCAAGATAAAATAAACTCAATACATTATTTGCATGTAGTTTGTAAGTAAAAGTGTTGTTTATACATTAATACTTCATTGTCTTAGCTCTGAGAACATTTTGCCTGGAGAAATATATGGCAGGTACAATACCTCTCTCCAAATGAACTAGAAAACTTTGTTATGTACACCTTTATATATGATATAATTTTCTTTAAGTCCAAATTTTTTTCCTTAGTGTTTAGAGCTTCCTGACACTTAAATCAACACAGCCAACAGTGCATATAAATGTTTTTGTTTTCAGAAAAAAAAAGTATAAGTAACACATTCTAGGATGCATTTTTATACAAGGCTTATACAGGCTTCTTTTTTTTCCTCGAAAAATCTCTTCATTTGCTCTTGGATCAAGCATTTGAGATTCTGATATGCTGCATTGTAACAATTTTGATCCTGTGTATACCTATTGTATTTTAATTCTGAATGGCATTATGCTGCTGTATTTTTGGGTAAAGCTTATAATAGCTATGTACCTCAGGGGAGTTAACTGTATGTCTTGATTTTATAAATTTTTTTTCTAGAACAACTGGTACAGGTTATGAGTGAATATTCTGTGCTCCTAGACTTTTATGAAGTGTGTTTTACTGGTTTTGCTAATTATCCTGTAAGCAATCTTGAAGTGTATGTCTGTGTGATTATATATTACAGAATAACTGCCACCTGGTGGTCTTTCAGTGATCATATAGAATATTGTAATAATATGAGATCCTGTGCTACATTTTTAGTGTTGTTTTGTATGTAATGATCTCTTATTAGAATTACTCTGTCGATCTGAACACACCACTGCATTATTTATTTTGTATTTTCTACATGTATATAATTATATATAGATTTATATTTGGAACTCTCTTCTTATATGATTAGAATCTCATTAAACATACCGGTTTGCATAATTGCTTTACTTTCCAACAAAGGAACAAAACATTTCCTGATGCTTATTTATGAATACTCTTGTATTTTCTTTTACAATTACTATCTTTTTTTATTTATGAAATTGAATTTCAAACTTCTTTTTATTTTAGCCTCTGAGATTGATATTTATAGGAGGGTTGTCCCAAAACTTTGTAGACAAGTGTCATTTTTCTGGGAACCAGGTTTTACATTTAATGGAAAATAAAACATTTAAGTAACCAATAAATTCAGTTTTAATATATGGAATAATTACACAGGGTTACCCTACTTAATTAAATAAGATCCTTAATTGAATGATTGGAGCAAGATGGCAGTACATTGCCAAAAAATTACATCTTTGATAAGTTTGAAATATTAAATCAAAAGAAAAAGACATCACTAGTCAGAATTTGAGAGATATGATTCTCTTTTAGATATGAATTATGTAACCGATTTTCTATTAGATATGAATTATGTTACCAATTTTGTCATTTATTACTTACTTTTTAAGAGTTTTATTTATAGTTTGAAAAATAGTGGCAGTGTAAGCTTAGGCATTGCTCCAGGATTTTATTGAATTTTGTGAACTAGGAAGTATTAGTAATTAGTAGTATTACTGTTTTTCCATTTTTAAGTTATAAAAATTATACAAATTCAAATGTATCTCTAAATTAGTTAATTTAAAGGAAATGATCTAGGTTATGATTGCACTATTCCAAAAAAGCATAACAGTACCCCAACAGTCGTATTAATTTTCTCGACATCAGAGATTGTGTTAGGTACAAGATATAGGGCATGGAATTTTGTATTTTGAATTTAGGGATATGATTCGGGTTATGTTTTCATAATTCTGAAATAACATAATAGTACCCAGCAGCAATATTTATCTTGTTTGACATGAGAGATTGTGCTAGGTAGGAGATGGTAATGACACTAACATTTGAAATAAGCTTTTTCAAATATTCTTGCGCAAAGTTAGTATTTTGTCAACCTTCCCATCCCTCCTCCCCCCCCCCCCCCCCCCACATACACCTTTTCCTCCTACAGAGAGAGAGAGAGTAAGTGCTGAGCTCAGAATATTATTTTCAGATAATTTTTGAAAAAGTATGCCCCCAGTCTTGAAAATTTTGGGACAACCCTCTTCTAATTTGTTCATGTGGAGATTAAAATAATTTTTTAAAATTAAACAGAGATGTGTCAATATTGACTTGAAAGATGAAATGTTGTTTTAGATGGTTTTTCTTTTAATGATAAGGCATGATAATATTTACCCAAAATCTGTATATCAGTCTGTTTGAAGTTCACTGATTCTTTTTAATCTTAATGTGATAAGTTGAGAAAACTAATCTGACCTGAAATACATCAGTTTGGGAATAACATTTAATTTAGTCATGATGCTTTACTATAATGAACTAAAATCTTATATGAACTAAAATCTTATAAGGTCACATATTTACGTATTCATGTATCTCTTCAAGATCTTATAATCTCTTTAAATCTTTGGTGATGAACGGGAGGGGTTGGTAGATTGTAAATGTAATGCATTGGAATTTAATAATGTATGTAGAGGATATTTAATGTTTAAATTTAGAGTTGTATATGGAAGTTATGTAACAAGTGTGACATGATCTTTAAAATTTTTTCACAAGAGCAAAGGCACTCATGTATATAAAAAAAATCTGTCTTATGATTAAAATAATTTATATATTATTTTCACAGTATAAAATATTAATTCAGTGGATAAATCACAGTTTTTCAATGTTGAAATTATGTAATAAAATTTTACAATTCAGTTTTTGAGATATAATCCATTTAATATTTGAATGTATTTAATTCATTCAGCATGTTAAGACTGTTACTAATAAGTTTCTTTACAGGTAGAATTTTAAGTTGTTAGATTGGTAGATATATCCTTCTTTTAAGACAAATATCCATGGATTTATTTTGTGAGTGTTTTCTGTGTCATGTACATTCCATGCCTTCTGTTGCGGAAATGAAAAGAGTTTGAAGAGTGATCCCATAAGCTTGCAATAAACCTGTTTTAGTATAAGGTTCAGTTCACAGTGAGCTAGATTAATGTATTGGTGTTCAAAGTCCTTATAAATGTTTTGCTTAGAGAGATGATGTTAGATTTTTTTATTATGGAATAGCCTTCGTGTCACTTTCAAATTTTCTTCCATTTGAAGTAGTCCACACAATTAAAAGTATTATAAATCCAATTATTCACAATGAAATGATTACTGGTTCTGTAAATTTGTTTACTTAATTTTATAGAGATTACAATGCATGTACTAAGTACTCTGTCAGTGCTAACAAAAATTATGCATTTTCCTTTTGGAAAAATCACACAAAAAACAAAACATAAGTTTTGTTGAAATTGTTTTATTGAGATCCTTACAAAAGACAAAAGTTTGGCTTTAAACCTTGAGACAAAATATAGTCCTTAGGGAACTAAACAAAACACTGCCTTTTATTACGAGTTACAAAGAACCTGATCTGTTATGTATGGTATATTGACTGTAAGAGGAGAATCAAATTGATCTGGTGTAGGTCTGCATAATTCATCAATTCATTAATGTGATCCCTCATTACTAATTAAACATCAGTATGAATTTAATTAAGCATTTTTCAGAAAACTTTGTTGATGATTTTGCTATGATGTTATGAGTTATATATTTAAGGGTATCATGGTATCTTAAAAGATACAGACTTACATTTTAAAATTTTTGCTGTATGTTTTAAAAAAATGCACCATAAAAAAAGCTTAAAATACAGTATGTGTTTCCTGTTTCTTTTGAGAATGCTGTTTTTTCTGTGATATGAAATCTTAAATGACAACGATGCACTATATTTAAGGATCATAGGCATGGTAAATACTTTTTGCCAGTTTACTTTGATAAAAATCCACAAGGGAAAAAAACAGTAGTAAATTAAACATTCATGTGAAAAACAGGATCTTCAGAATAGCCATCAAATTACATATATTACACAATTATATCAAAGATTAAATATATTTTGGAATACACTTACATAACAGTGAGCAAAAATTATAAAACCTTAATTTGTTTTCAAGATATTAACTCTTCAAACTTGAAATTGATTTTAATGTATTAAAAAGCCATCCTGCACATGTTCAAGAATTTAGATTGAAACTTGTCAGGGTAATTTCTCAAAGCAACCATTATTTTGTCCAATGTATGAAGAGTTTTGGTCTGAAATACCGGTAATGACTCTTGACTTTCTTTATAATGATATAAAACCTAGCAGCAATCTTGGAAACATGGTTAGCAATGTAGCCAGAATCTTCTCAAATCAAAATTTGCTGATATGGCCCAAAAATTTATGAGTTTGGGACAGAAATGCCTCATGCTTTCATGTATATTCCAGAGAGCCTCCCTGTAAACTTGAATGATACCTGTCAAGAATGGTGTGGTGATCGAGTCTTTTGAACTCTTTGAGTTTTTCTTGTCCTCAGGGCAGTGGGGTGAGACTGTGATGGCAACAGCTCAAGAGGGTGAAGATGCAAGGGCCACAGGATGACAGATCCTGAATGTAATGGAAACAACACAAGGGATGAAGTGTGTCATTGTTCAAAGGGAAGGGGGACATAACAAGGGAGTGACAACATGAGGGAGCAAAGGCAACAAGACAAGGGAGAATGTGAGAACAATATTGTAAATCAATGGGATGCTACATGCAACAGTATCAACACTCGCATTCTCACTGTTTTGCTTTGTTGCCTTCTTGTTTTCACTTTGTTAAGCTTGTTCCTTTGTATGGATGCCTTTCTTGTTCCTTCTCCCTTGCCTGAGGTCCTATCAATACACCAGAGACAACGAACTGGTACTTAACAAAGTATAGCTCAGAATTAGCTTTTTTTCTACTGAAATTTTGAAGTTTTTGTTTTAAATACTCTTTTATTAGATTATTTTCATGCCACAATGACTTCTTCCAAATTTAACGAGGCTGAGTCTAATTATTTCTACCCTAGATATTTTGATAAATTTTCTTGAATTAATTTTTACTATTGTATTAATTATTTAAAGATAAAAATATCAAATGTTTACCATCCCGATTTCTAAGAAGGCCATCAAAAAAGTTGTCAAATTTTACTATTGGACCCTATGGGAATTTGTTGGAAAAGCGCCAAATTATCATTTTCCCCATATTTTTTGTATTTCGGCCCTAGGGATTTCGTTTTCAGTCACATACATGAAAGTTATTGTAAAAAGTCACCAAACTGTGAAATTTCAAAGAAGTTGACCATCTGGTTTGGTCTAGGAATTATTACAAAGTTTATTTTTTCTCAATGCCCAATACCTCTAAATTTGCCATATTGCGGCATACATTTTGTATATATCGGCACAGATGAATTATTTTGGTAAAAAACAAGAGCACCGCTAAGCGGAGCATCCCCTCGCGGCAGGCACTTCACCGGTAATGGCAAAATTCTTAAGATGGACGATAATGAAGGTACAACCAACTAGGTTTAAAATATTTAAAGGTAAAGAAAATAAAATATATTGCAGCACAAATTATTTTTTACAAAATCATCTGGGGGGGGGGGGGGGGGGGGGTCATTTTTAAATCAAAGTGCATAAAATCTTGGGGGAGGGGGGGGGTGGGTGGGTAACATGCATACGTAATTGGACAGTTTCCCTTAATCCTAGCAGAAACATATCACGTACAATGTATGCTCGAAGTTTCAGTAATTTACCTACCTATGTAAATCTCAAAGTTGCATGCAATATGTATAAAATCTTAATATACCCATAGGCGCTCCCCAGCTTAATTGTTAAAAAATATATATCTACTATACTATAAACATAACAAGGGTTATGTTTATAGTATAGTAGATATATATTTTTTAACAATTAAGCTGGGGAGCGCCTATGATACGCACAGTAGCGATGCTATATCCCCTCCGCAACTAGTTGCGCGAGGGGATAATAACAATGTTTAGATTGCTGGTATGTTTCTTTTGATGTTCTGTCAACAGTGTTTAAAAAAATGTCCATGGACGTGTTGAATACTCAAATTAGACTCGTCCTCGTTAAAAGTATTTGGCAAAAAATATAGTTCCAAACTTTATATCTAGATTACACATGTATTTTTAGATCAGCTGAGTCACTTGGGTGACCTATTGCTATCTTTTTTTGTCTGTCGAGGTTGTAATTTTTTAACATTTACAGCTTCTTCTCTGAAACCAGAACCACTGAATCAATTTAAGCCAATTTTGGCATATACATGTAGAATCTATGGGAAAGGGGAACAAAAGGTATAATTTCATGGTCCCTGCAACCTAACCCCCCCCCCCCTCCCCATCCCAGGAATGAGAGTTTGGGGCCAAAACAAAACCATAAAATTGATGTAATTTTCAAAAATTTTCTTCCTTACTCCTGGACGTCAAACTGTTGCCTGATTGTATTAAGCATTGGGCCCTCTACCCACATTGTGAAAATCATGGTTCTATCCAGGGCCAGTGGTTCTGGTGTTGGGTGGGGCTCAATTGGTCATCAACTGAAAATGCATTAAAAAACTTTAAAAATCTTTTTCTCTCCCCCCTTCCCCCTTTTATATTTTGCAGACAAACTAAGTGCATTGATATGATTAGCAAGGGTATCTCTACCTAAATTGTGAAAATTTTTACCCCTGGGTCAGGGGTTCTAGTGCTGAGATGGAGGGAAGGGGGCTCTTGATCATGTAGAGAATATGCATAAATTCCTTAGAAATCTTCTCTCATGTTAAAATAGCAAACTAAGTGCATAGTCATGATGAGCAAGAGTCTCTCTACTTAAATTCTGAAATTCAGGGCCCCTGGCTCAGGGGCTCTGGTGTTAGGGCAGGGCTGTATTGATCATTTAGTGGAAATGCATTAATTCTTTGAAAATTTTCATGGTTATGATGAGCAGAGGTGCCTCTTTTAAAATTATGAAATGAATTGCCCCTGGGTCAGGGGATCTGTTGTTAGGGCAGGGCTCTATTGATCATATAGTGGAAATGCATTATTTCTTTGAAAAATTTCTTTTCCGAAACTGGTTACTTACCAGGTGGACAAACTAAGTGCATGGTTATGATGAGCAGGGCAACTCTTCCAAAATATGGGAATGTCATGGCCCCTGGGTTAGGGATTCTTATGTTAGGGTGAGACTCTATTGATCATATACCGGTCAACAGGGGATGCTTACTCCTCCTAGGTACCTAATCCCACCTCTGGTGTTTCCAGGGGTCCATGTTTTGCCCTATTCACAATTCCTTTTGTATTCTGGATTTCTGAGATTGATAACTGTTCATTATCTTCACCTTTTACATTATAAAAATTCATTAATTCTTTTGATAATCTTTTTCTCTGCTCCTGGGCATCTATCAGGCAAACAAAGTCAGTTGTAATGAGCAAGTCTTAGGGTATTTTTACCAAATTTGTGACAATGTAGAGATAGAAGTTTGATGATTCTAAGCCAATTAATACCCGAAATATTTATTTAAAGCCATTAATTTCAAAAGTAGGTCACAGTGACCACTTTTCAGTTGACCTACTCCGAAGACCCAAGATGCATCAACTGACAAAGTTTGATGATTCTAAGCCAAATAGTACCTGAAATATTTAATTATAGTCATATAAATTGAAAAGTAGGTCACGGTGACCTACTTTTCAGTTGACGTTTTTCGAGGACCCAAGATGCAAAGTTACAAAGTTTTATGATCATAAGCCTTAAAATGTCCAAATTATGCCTCTAAAATGCTTTAAAATCAAATGCCTGCAAAGTTCAAAAAGTAGGTCACTGTGACCTACTTTTTAATAAATATGTTTTATGGCCCCAAGATGCATCATCTTACAAGATTTAATGATTCTAAACCTCTCAGTATTCGAATAAATGATCTTAATTGTTTTGAAAAAGATTAGCCATAAAATTTAAAAAGTAGGTCAAGGTGACCAAAATATGCCTCTAAATCATTTTGAAAAAGAATGGCTGCAAAATTGAAAAAATAGATCACTGTGACCTACTTTTGAGTCAAAATAATATGAGGTCCTTAGATGCATCAACTGACAAGATTTGATTATCCTAGTTCTTATAGTAAGCAAAATATCAACATTTTAATAACATGTAATTTTTGGTCAACTTTGAAGTGACCTTCAGACCACGCCCTTTGCCTCAGGGCGATTCCCCGTGCAAATTTTTATCTACAATATATCCTCATCCTTTTATGTAAGTTTGGTGATAATCTGCCCAGTGGTTCGTGAGAAGATTTTTTAGCAACCAGTGTTTCCATTTTCCTAATTATCTCCCCTTGTTTAAGGGTCACAACCCTAGTTTTAGTATAAACGGGAGCCCTTGGGCCAAGGATACCCTGTGACAAATTTGACAATAATTGGGCATGGCCGAGGGGTTCTTGAGTTATGGCCCATATTCTAAAAAGTTTACGCACACCGCACAAATGGCCATGGCATTAGCTCTTTGAGCCTTTGGCTCAGAAGAGCTAAAAATGCATCACTTTTATTCTCTTTTCCTGAAAATATATTTGCAATTTGATAATTTTCCCTATACAATGATTCATTATAATGATGAATTTGAAGAAATATCACGGGTAAATACACTACTTTATGAATTCTGGGACATTTTTGTGAGCATTTTCAATTACTTAACTGCCGATTTTCAGAACCTGTTGATTCGACTACCTTAATTTACTCAAATTTTACCTTCATTTTTATGTCTCAATGTTTTGCAATCCAGAAAAAAATGCTCCCTGACTGTGAAAGTCAATACTGAAGCAA